TCAGGTAACTTTACATCGTACTTCACTGGTTTGAATCCCAGGCCCACAACTTGGATTCTCAGGCTCAATTAACATATCTATAGCCCCTGAGCTCAATTGGGGCAAGGTGAGAGGGAAGGACAAAAGGCTTGGGCGGAGTCCCGCTGTTTCGGCTTCCTAAGCCAGGTTTACAGGAGGACGCGAGATGCCCAGGTGACTGGGTGGCACCTGGAAAAGGATTAGGGAGGATGGTTTTTTTGTCTATAGAACAAAGAACTGAGAAGTAGCTAAGATATTTTTAGTTAATCCTTTGGAGAAAGGCTTGACCTTGCAACTTTTACAGTCTGGGCTTTTAGGAAAATATCACATTTATCTGTGGACATTAAGGGCTCATGTCTGCATTTAATAAAACATAACTGGATATTAAGATTAAAAACAATTTGCCATGACTGCCAGTGGCTTCATTTGTTCTTCAGAGCCTGCGGCCTGTATAGTCTACACATGGTCTGCAACAATCAGTGTTATGAGGAATCATCTCATCACGTCTTGTCTCATTGTTGTTTGCCACAGTGTGTTATCACTTTTATTACATGTATGCTCTGAGCCTGCCTGGCACTGACTGTCCTCTGATTCAGCCCAATATATGCAGACCGACCTCGGGTAGCTGACAAGAAGCATATGTGTCTAGTACATCATGTACTATTACAGTACATGTCCTGGTATGGACCTTGCTTGTCTCCCAGAATTTACATTATTATTATGATTCACTCAGTATGAATTTATGTTTCTATGAAGAAAGTTCCTAGATTTATTGAATTTCGAGTCCTGCCTGAGGTTGCTTTGGCAGGGCCAGACCAAATGATTTCACAGGCTTCACATGACCAGTGTGCTGAACGTTCCCACCCCTATTCTAATGTGGGCTTTCAGAACAGATGGTAGTGGTACTATCTAGTTCGTATGGTCTCAGTGATTGGAGACTGATGTTCACATGTTCCATTACTCGGTTGCACTAATAGATCCCAAGCCTCTTCACTTCTCATCACTCTTCTTTCTTCTGCACATGAGAGACCAATAGCTGCACCTTAGACAACTCATGAATTTTTAAGATACCAGACACTACTTAACGAGGTAGGGTATAGAACATTGTCTTAATGCCAGTTGACTGTGGTGTTCCCTGAGACTATGGTCCTGAGCGCCCTCCCACCCCCCACCAAGACCCAGAAACTCATTGCCTTAAGATGTTTTTATTACCATCAATTCTTTTTTTTTATGTGATAGTTTACATGGGAGAACATTAGTTTTACATTCATTCTATCGTATATTGTCTCATTGCCGTGGGTACAATCCCCTCCATGCAATCCTTCCCCT